GTTAGAATTATGTTCTACATCCTTCTCCAGCTCTGTCCAGAGCCCTCTGTTGTGATCCTGGTCAGAGCAGTCAGTGGTGGTAGCCGGGCACCATCTAGCTATACTGGACTCAGTCCGGTGGAGGCCTTGGTAGCTGTAGACAGTTAGTCCTTTGGACTAATCTTTTCCTTATATCCTGTTCTCTTCATTCTCCCAGAGAGGTTTTAATAGCTGATGAATGGGAGGAAAGGAATTCAGGTTGAGGGAACAGCATGTACAAGAGCAGGGAGATGTGTATAAGTGAAAGATAATAAGTCTGATTTAGGGCTGTGGCAGTGAGGGTGGAAAGAAAATTACAAATATAAGTCTTTGCAGAGGTAAACTCAATGGAATTTTCCAGTTGAGGATAGCATATATGTCTTCCCTCTATTTCTGGTTAACCGTGTTTGACTGGTTGTTTTGAACCATAAAGAACTGAGTTGACAAACTATGGCTTGCAGGCTTCAGCCAGTTTTTTGTAAATAAAGTTTTATTGGAACACAGCCACGCTTGTTTGCTTCTGTCATCTATAGCTGCATTCACCCTACAATGGCAGAGTTGAGTAGTTTTCACAGAGACCATATGACCTACAAAACCCAAAATTTTTACTATCTGGCTCTTTTCATAAAAAGTTTGTCAACCCCTGATGTAGAAGAAACTGGGCCCTGGGTTTAGTGCTCTGTGAGAGGAGCTGTGTTGAATGTATTGATTAGAAACAGCCATGGTTTTATGGTATATAGGAGTCAGAATTTGGTACTGAGAAGTGGGAGTGCTGCTCTAACAGATACCTAAAATGTGGAAGTGCTTTTGGAATTGGGTAATGGGTAGAGGCGAGCCCTGGTGGTGCAGTTGTTAAGAGCTACGACTGCTAACCAAAAGGTCGGCAGTTTGTATCCACCAGCTACTCCTTGGAAACCCTATAGGGCAGTTCTGCTCTGTCCCATAGGGTCACTATGAGTCGGAATCGACTCAACGGCAACAGGTTAATAGTAAAAGCCTAGATTGCCTTGAAGATACTGTTGGTAGAATTATGAACGTCAAAGGGAATTCTGGTGAGAGCGCACAAGGAAGTGAGAAGAGCTGTAGAGAAATCTCTGTCATCTTAGAGAACACATATGGTACCAGCAACAGAACGTTGCTAGCAATGTGGACATTAACTGTGCTTCTAGTGAGGCTTTAAAAGAAAATGATGAACATGTGATTGGACAATGGAGGAAGGGCAGTGCATTTTATCCAGTGGCAGAGAACTTGTGTGAAAAATTATGTTCATATGTTTGGTGGAAGGTAGGACTTGTAAGTGATGAACTTGGGTATCTGGCTGTTGAGATTTCTAAGCCAGATCTTAAAGGGGCTGCATGGTTTCTCCTTGCAGCTTATAGTAAAATGCTAAAGGAAAGGGATAGAGGAAGAGACATGCCAAGCCACATGAAGATCGCCCAGGAGCAGAAGCTCAAAAGAGACAAAGACCTTCCTCCATAGCTGACAGAGAGAGAAAGTCTCCCCCTAGATCTGGCCTCCTAAACTGAGAAAATAAATTTCTGTTTGTTAAAACCATCCACTCATGGTATTTCTGTTACAGCAGCACTAGATAACTAAGACAGAATTTGATCCCATTGAAGTTGTCAAGGATTTCATTTTACTTGGATCCACAGTCAACATCCATGGAAGCAGCAGTCAAGAAATCAAACAAGGTATTGCATTTGGCAAATCTGCTGCAAAAGACCTCTTTAAAGTATTAAAAAGCAAAGATGTCACTTTGAGGACTAAGGTGTGCCTGACCCAAGACATGATATTTTCAGTTGCCTCATATACTTGCGGAAGCTGGACATGAATGAGGAAGACCGAAGAATTGATGTCTTCGAATTATGGTGTGGGCGAAGAATATTGAATATACCACGAACTTCCAGAAGAACGAACAACTCTGTCTTGGATTAAGTACAGCCAGAATACTTCTTAGAAGCAAGGATGACAAGACTTTGTCTCACGTACTTTGGACATGTTATCAGGAGGGATCAGTCCCTGGAGAAGGACATCATGCTTGGTAAAGTAGAGGATCAGCAAAAAAGAGGAAAACCTACAATGAGATGGATTGACACAGTGGCTGCAACGATGGACTCAAACTTAGCAGTGATTGTGAGGATGGTGCAGGACTGGGCAGTATTTCGTTCTTTTGTACGTAGGGTCTTGATGAGTTGGAACTGACTGGACAGCACCTAACAGCAATAAACCAACAAGGAGCAGAAGCCTTGGATCTTGCTTTGCTCTGTTTATATCAATCACTCTATAGCTCGAGAAAGTAAATTTCTCTAAGAGTCTCTTTGCCTGTTTGCTTCAATTTTAATTCCTCCACTCCTCCGCCACCACAATGGCTGCTTGGCTGTTCCTTGAACAAGACTCACTACACCTCAGGGCCTTGCACTTAAGTGTTCCCTCTGTCTAGGGTATGCTTTCCTAGACGTTCATGTGGCCAGCTCAGTGATTCCTTCCAGGCAATCCTGTTAATCACCTCCTCCCCACCCTAACCTGCACTTCTTACCCTCCTTTTCTACTTACGTCTTTGTTCAGTGCTTATCACTATCAAATATACATTTCACTTAACTTGTTTATTGTCTCTCTCCCACTAGAATGTAAGTTCCATGAAGTCAGGGATTTTTGTGTCTTTTGTTCACTAGTATATACCGAGGGCCTGGATCTGTGCCAGATACTTAGTAGGCACCCAGGAAATCATTGTTGAATAAATAAGTGAATGCCTTAGTCTTTTTGCTTCTCTTCTGCATTAGACACATTTGGAGCTTCTTTGGGGGACAAGGATGATATATTTGTAGGTGGCAATGATGTTATTATGTAAGTCCATTATAATTACCTCCCAACAAAGTTTAGAAAATTGTTTCATCAATGCAGTGGAGTATTAAGCAGCAATTAAAATGGTTAATTATGAAGACTGTAGAAATGTAAGAAAATGTTTAGTTAGTTAGGAAAATGTTTATGATAGATCAAAGTCACATGCACACTACCTCTCTAAAGTATGCATGAATATTAACGAAGACTGGAAGATAATGCAAAAATGAAATAATTCTTTTAGGGTAGTGGATTTTTGGGTGATTTTTCACTCCAAAATTTTTTTTAATACTACTGCTTTCTTATTTTTTTTTATAGTGATATAAAAATAGATACAAATTTCCCCTGCATCTCTTCACACCCCCTACCCCTCTGCACCATATCCAGAAATACGGCCTTTAGTAGGAGTCACATAATGCAATAAGCAGAAATCAGAGTTTATACTGAATCTCAGCATTGAAAAGATGGATGGGCATTATGGAGAGATGTTTCACTTTATCCCATGATATATTGCCACGATATACTTCCTAGTAGGAAGTATGCCTTAAGCTTCCTTGGATAGAAATGGATTTGGGTTTATAAAGTTAACATTTAGACGAAAACTCTTTTGTTTGAGATAGAACCTGAACAGGCATGGTGTTCTGGGTGAAAATGTTATATTTGGGTTTTCTCAAAGCAATGTTCCCTTCCTCCTATTCTGAGATGCACATTCAGGATACCTTTTCCACAGTGCCATATAAAGGTAGGATTTTCTAATGGATGTAGTCTTTTGGAGTAGTCATTTGATTTTCTTCCGATTTCATTTTCAGCCTGCCTTTAAAAACAGGATAAGTCTTTTCTTTGTACCTTAGTTTCTCCATGTGCAAAACTGTGGCTCTCTAGACATCTTCCAAGGATGTGGTGAGCTTGTAGCCCTTTTATTTAAATAGGTCTTTGTGTTTGTTCTACCAAACTACATTTCTAGGTAGAACTACATTTTCTTCTACCAAACCTGTTGCCGTCGAGTTGATTCCAACTCATAGCGACCCTATAGGACAGAGTAGAACTGCCCCATAGGCTTACCATATGTAGTTGATGTTTAAACCATTGCCCCTAGGCTTCATCTGAGCATCTTGCCAGGGGCTGGAACTTTGTAGCACAAAACAAAATACAAAAAAGTTCCACAACTTCAGAAGCCTACTCTTTGAGGGAATATTGCCTCCCAGTTTTAGCAAATGGGAAGATGATGAAGAATCTGTTCTCATTTAACTCAATAAAACCCAGATTCCTTCCATTGGTCTATAAGAGTCTGTAGGAATATGGCTTCCTGCCTCCCCTCAATCTGACCACTTAACTACTTCCTGGGTGCTCTGTTCCAGTCACACTGGCCTTCTTTGCTCTTTCTTGAAAATGCCAGGCATGATCTGCCTTGGCCTTTGTGCTTCCTCTGCTGGAAACTACATGGTTCATTCCTGCTCCTCCTCTAAGAGTTTGCGCAAGTGTCACCTTAGCAGTAAGGTCTGCCATGACCCTCCCCCCATCATTTGCACTTCTCTTTATCCAGAAAACAAAAAAACCAAACCCGTTGCCATCGAGTCGATTTCGATTCATGGCGACCCTACAGGACAGAGTAGAACTGCCCCATAGTGTTTCCAAGGAGTGCCTGGTGCATTTGAACTGACGACCTTTTGGTTAGTAGCCGTAGCACTTAACTCTTATGCCACCAGGCTTTCCTCTTTATCCATAACACTTATCAACTTCTCATACAAACTATGTCATTTCCTAGGAGCCCTGGTGGCTCAGTGGTTAAGAGCTCCATTGCTAACCAAAGGTCAGCAGTTCAAATCCACCAGGCGCTCCTTGGAAGCCCTATGGGGCAGTTTACTCTGTCCTATAGGGTCGCTATGAGTCGGAATCAACTCAGCGGCAACGGGTATATCATTTCCTTGTATATTATGTTTACTGTTTACTGTCTTCTCTCCTCTCTCCCCACTACAGCAGAAGCTCCATGAGGGCAAGGATTTTTGCTGGTTTTGTTTACTGTGGTTAGATTAGAGTCAAGCTCATAGTAATTGCTTGGTGAATATTTGTTGAATGAATTGGGTGACTGGGACACTGAGTTTCACCTTCCACTTGGAATTTTCTTGTTACTTCCATACCATCTGGACCCCAGAGACACTGTCTTCCCCTTTTAATGAGCAAAGAGAAGAACATCTTCTCTTGGTTCTGCCTTGGCATAATTGTCATAGGCTGAAGAGTTTAAGGAAATGTTTTGAGGACTAACAACAATAGAGAAATTAATACAGAAAATGCAAGAAGTATGAAAATAGTCTCCCTTATAAAGTGTATGGCTCTTAAGTCTGCCATAACTAGCTTGCTTTAGTATCTTGCAGGCCCACTAGTCTATCCACTTATCATGAGAAATCTAATTCTAGCTTCAGAGAACTAGTACTGACCTTGTCTTGATGTCCTGTATGTGGCACCATCTCATAATCTGCTACTAAGGAGCTCCCTCTTGTACTTCTTGGTAACTGTCACTGAGGCCAAGAGAACACCATTTTCTAGTTTATGCATCATCTCTTTTATTGAAACTAATAACCTTATGCTTCAGGTGAACTATCTCGCACAGGGCGTATGGCCTTCATTCATTTCTTTTTCTTTTTTAAATAAACATTTATTGAGAACCGTCCATGCGCCTTGGAAGAAGTATAGTCAGAATGCTCCTTAGAAGCAAGGATGACGAGGCTTCATCTCACATGTTCTGGACATGTTATCAGGAGGGACCAGTCCCTGAAAAAGTAAAGTGCAGGGTCAGCGTGAGGTTGACACTGAGGTCAGTTACTATGAAAGAAAACAGTGCCTCAGACTGTCTCATAACTAAGTCATGCTTGGTAAATAGAGGGTCAGCAAAAAAGAGGAAGACCCTCAGTGAGATATATTGACCCAGTGGCTGCAACGATGGGCTCAAAAGTAGTAATGATTGTGAGGATGACGCAGGACCGGGCAGTGTTTCGTTCTGTTGTACGTAGGTTCGCTATGAGTCGGAACCAGCTTGACGGCACCTAACAACCACCACCACCACCATGTGCCAAGCCTGATGCTAGATTCAAGGTACATCTTATATCTCGCTATCACGAAGCTCACAGTTCAATAGAAGAGACAGAGCTAAACAGTTACAGAGAGGGTGATGAGTACTTTGGGGCTGTGTGCGTGTATGAGGAAAAGTCTCCTCGGAACATCATGTGTGTTTGTGCAAATCTGCCAATAAACATATCCGTAGTTTACAATACAGTAGCACTTGAGTCATTTCATTATCATTATCGTCCACACATCTAGTAACAAGAAGGCATTTCCTTCAAACTCTTGTCTAAACCTTCTTCCTTTGTCTTCACTTGGCTTTAGTTCTTCAGCTATGGTAATGCCAGCCCCTCTCCCTAGCCCTTACTTCCCAAACGTTTCACTGTGTAGTTTTAACAATGAATGACTTTTCTCCTCATGCTCTATTGAAAGTTATTGACTTTTTCTTTTCTTTTTTTCCCCTCCTAATTTCTTTTCCTTAAGAAGTTGAGTTGAGCCTTTAGTTCTCTTTCCTCATCTCCTGTCTTTCTGCAAAGCCAGTTCCTGGTGTTAAGTGAAAGCTGTTCCTGTCAGAGCCTACTCTTTGCCATTAATAAATGATTAGGGAGGTTATCAGCCAGCATTAATACTGTTTATGAAATCGCAATTACTAATGCAGCATTTTGTGAAATTCTAACTATATAAATGGCACGAATGTTTTGATAAGTTATAGCTCCAGAGAATTCCTTACAGAGTAAGCCAGAATTTTTTTTTTCTTCTCAGGGTGATACACATAACATTAAATTAAGTTTGTCTTGGTTGCCATTTACTTTAAACCAATCTGGTTTTCCTGTCTGTATAATTGATTCTCTGACAGCATAAGAAGCTTTGGTGGTGTAGTGGTTAAAGGGCTTAACTGCTAACTGAAAGGTCAGCAGTTCCAACTTACCAGCCATTCTGTGGGAGAAAGACGTGGCAGTCTGCTTCTGTAAAGATTTACAGCCTTGGAAACCCTCTGGGGCAGTTCTGCTCTGCCCTATAGGGTGGCTATGAGTTGGAATCCATTCAAGGGCAATGGGTTTTTGTTTGTTTTTTGTTTTTATATTTGCTATTCGGCAGATGGTGGGGGGTGGGGAGCAGGCTCGCATTTGTTTTAACCACCCAAGAAGAGCCAAAAGTGCCTTCCTGTTAGGTTTCTGACTGCGTGCTTAGTTATGAAACAGTCTGAGACATTGGTTTCTTTCATATTAACTGACCTCAATGTCAACCTCATCTTCCTTCTCCTCCCCCTCCCCCCTTCTTATTTTTAGTTTCTGGTTTGCCTTTCCAATTTGTTACTACATTTGTAGTGTGAAGGCGTTGCAGTTGGTAGAAATTATTACATTTCTCTGGTGGTTTTTGTTGTCTGACTTTAAACTTCCTTCCTCTTAAGACTGTATGAGACAAACACAGGCAGTCTTTCATGTGTGAGGGATTAAATTCTTGTTACACTTTTAATTTATTGTGATTAAGATGAACTTTAAAAGAAAACCATTTCCTTTTAAGAATTGCCTTGGCAAGAAGTTGGAAATCCTCGAACCTTGTTGCAAATGAGTGTGTAGTGTGTAGCTGTTTGTTAGGAATGAGGCTGCTCGGGTCCAGTGAAAGCTTCTCTTATTGTTAGTGTGCAATTAGATACCTTCAGAGGCGGAGAGAGCATATTTTCAGGCAATGCAGGAAAAGCTTCAAAGGGCAAAGGGTAAAGAGAAGGGACAGAGTTAGTAAGCAGGAGGCCTGGGTCATTGCTTTTGTTCACTGACTAACCTTGAGGCATTTGATGTCTCTACTCAGTTTTTTTGTCCTCTGTCGATAGATATTAAGTTTATTGTGGATGAATGAGATTGTATCTATACAAGGGTTCCAGTGCCCACCAAGAAGGCATTTTAATTATGAAGTATTGTATATTATCTTCCTTAAGGATCCCAGATCCTAGTAGAACTGTCTTTGTCTCGTCTTTAGAGTACAGCTTTTGGGAGACAGCAAATATTTATTGAACATCTATTTTATACCAGGCATTTTGGCATTTTCTAGGTTTTTTGGGCATAGAGTGGTGAACAATATAGATAAATGTCTCTGCCCTTGTGGAGCTTAGATTCTAGTTGAGGAGACATGTATACTAAGTAAAATGTTGTTGTTAGTTGCCGTCGCATTGATTCCAACTCACAGCGACCCCACGGGTACAGAGTAGAACTGCGTCTGTGAACTTTGGAAGCAAATTGCCAGTTCTGTCTTCCAAGGTGCCTCTGGGTGGGTTCGAACCACCAACCTTTTGGCTGGTAGTTGAATGCTTAACCATTTGCGCCACCTAGACACTCGAACTAAATAAGATACACAAATAAAATACAGTATATCTATCATGTGTTAGATAGTGATAAATGCTAACCAGAAAAAATAAAGCAGGCAAAGAAAACCGGAAGTGTCAGGGGTGGTAGTGTGGGTTAATTATTATTATAAGTGGTTTCCTTTTTAAAATAATGCGAGTTATTTTATTCATTCAGAAACATTGCCCTGAGGTGTCTGTTGCCTTCACGAGACTGCCAAAGGGGTCCATATCACAAAAAAAAGGTTCAGAACCTCTGCATTAGGCGTCATCTCTCCACCTCTCTGTGTGTGATTGAAAAGATGCTTATTCCTCTTTTATACTCTATGTGGTAATGATGTGGTAGAATGTTCCATGTCTATTTTCCTATTATACCTGGTAATTGTGGGCTTTTCAGGTTTTCTTTAAATTATTCGAAATTATGAGGCCTGAGGACATTAATTCCTTTTGGAGGATGGTGTTGCGGGACAGTAGTGTTGCCATTTGTGTTGTGCAGCTCCCCAGGGTACTGTGAAGCCTTTCTGGAGCTCTGTGTAAATTTATGTCTGGATCTTTCTCATCCAGGTTAGTCTAAACAAGTCAGTCAGATGCCTGGTATTGAGGGAGACATGAGTAAAAGAATAGATGGGAGGAGTTGGAGCATATTTATGGGACGTAAACAACATAGATTGTTAACAGATGGGAAAAGTAGGTGAGCCACTGATTTGACCCCTTAAGTATATGTCATTGAACCACTATTAAGACTCGTGCTGGTATCTAGTGTCTATATAAAGATAAGAGTATCATTAAACACCAAACAGTGAAGTCCATTCTCTGGTACCAGCTACAAATTCGGTTTCATAGTCTACTTAACAATTTAAATAAACTGAGATATTTCTAGATGGTCTGCTTCTATTCATATAAAAACAAAACTTGGTTTCCCCTTCTACTTACCTTCCCTCCCCTCCCAAATATTTTTTTGAGCATTCATGTCAGAGATTAAAAAAATCGATTTAACAACATTGCTTGTCCTCATGACTGGGGAGGATAGACTATTAAATAATCACGGTATAGTGTGGTAAATGCTAGGATAGAGTAGGCCCGAGTTTCAGTGAGAACACAAAAATGGGATACCTAACCCAAGCAAGAGTGGGGGTGATGGTGGATCAGTGGCACCAGAACTGGTAATTGGTAAATTTCTGTCCTGTGTTTTGAATTGAATTGGCACATAGAGTATATGTCTTGCCTTGTAAACGAATTCAGTCTTACTATCATTTTACCATGCTTAAAGCAGGTGACAAAGGGGAAAAGAGAGTTCTTTTGTCATATCATCTTTCCTCTGTATTAACTACTTTCTCCCCTTTCTGCCTATTCTCAATAATTGATCGAGTTATTCAATGAATAGTTTTAATTTTTAGGTTAGTTTTGATAAGGAGACTTAGATCAAGAAGTGCTAATGTTTGCTTAGCATAATTTTTAATGATGTGGAGATAACATAGTTCTGTAGAAAGTATTGGGTTATCAATCAGGACACTTCATTTTGTGTTTTTTGAGTAATTTTCCTTTGATCTTCATTAATAAAAATCTATTGATTACTAGTTATATACTTCATTTTAAGCAAACTCAATTTATGAACAATCTGTTTATGATTTGCTCAATAAAAAAGATATGAAGCTCCCTTAAGTAGCCAGCTTTCCTAGTAGAAGTAACATAATTATGTGAATTACATGTATCCGTGTAAGATCACCACAAGACAGAACTGTTCTCAGGGCATGTTGGGAAGACAAACATGTAAATAATTACAAGTGTACAGAGTGCTGCCATAGAGTACAGAGTGCAGTGGAGTAGAACAGGAGTGCTGAACCTTGTCTGGACACATCAAAGAAGCCTTTTTCTAAGGAAGTGATACGTACTTCAGTTGAAACCTGAAGGACACTTAGGAGTTAGCAAAGTAAGAGAGAATTCCAGGTAGAGAAAACTGCATGGAGTGGGTGACTTAGGGAAGTTACTTAGCTTCTCAGCGCTTCACTTTCCTTGTTTGTAAAATAAGGATGATATAATTGCCTCAGAGGCTTGCTGTGAACATAAAGGTTGTTTTTTAAGTCATTATCTTCTAATTAATATTTCTGAAATGAAGAACAATCAGTTCATTGGGATAGCTTCTGGGTCCAAATTTATGTATTAAATCGCTAAACATGTAGATCTACTTACTATACTTTTCCTTGTAACCTTCTTTGCGTGTCTTAAGGACTTTCTCATATTTCAATGCCAAGAACAAGGTTTTTGTTTTGCTTGTTTATTTGCTTTAATTATAGAGATTAAATTCTGCCTTCCGTTGCTGCATAAGTCTTGTAGCCTACTAAACTTTTTAGGTCTGTACGTGTTATCAATTAGAAAGCTTCATCTACAAGTAACAGAAAGGCCAACTCAATGACTTACAGTAAACACACAGACATTATTTTAGATAACAAGCAGTCTGGGAATAGGGTGATTCCAGTGCTGGCTAGTTCAGCAGCTCAGCAAAGTCATCAAGGATCCAAGTTCATTTCATTTTCCTGCCCTGGCTGGCTCCCTCCATGGTCTCAGGTAGCCTGTTGCAATTCCAGGTGTCAGAGGTATAACCCAGAACATCCAGCTGAGGAAGAGGGACTCTTTCTTCCCAGATCTCTGTCTTTATCAGGAACAAATACCTTTTCCAGAAGCTTTCCCAGCAGGC